CCAGCCTCCATAATAACATAAAACCACAAACAACATGAATAAAGATGATAGTGCATAGCAGGAATTGGAGACCCCACATTGACTAGAAATAAGATCAAATTACAGTATATAAATGGGTGCTAACCTCATTTTACAAGATTTAATACGGTTAAATTAGGTTTAAAATTCACTTCCTAATATGGTATTAGAGTCTATCCTAGCAAGCTACTATTGAACCACCCAGAAAATATCAAGTCCCCAAGCTCAAAATGCTCATTCCTCAACTTAGGAGGTGTGTTGGAGATCAGACTTCGACTAGATACATGGCAAAATTACAGTAATAAATGGGTGCAAAAAACCTTATCTTATTAACATGTTTTGTTTTGTGAGGTTGAGTTAGACTTAAAGTTCACTTTCTAATAGCAGACTTAAAAGTGGTTGAGCTAGACCTTACAGTTCACTTTCTAATAGCCGGCTTAACGGTGACAAAGTATGGTGATTGCCAAGTGAACAACATATCACAACTTTCAAATGATGATAGGAAGTTAGGAATCTATTAACATATGCAAATGGTAGACAATATCTCTTTTCTTTCCTTTCCCTCTTCTTTTGAATTACTTTGATGAGTAGAATCCTTCTAATGATTTTTGGATATAAGTGGATAGGAAAGGTCATTGGATAAGATCTTCAAGTTTTTTTTTATCAACAAGGAAAGGAATATATGAGCAAAGTGCAAATGGTAGACAATATCTCCATTTTTTTCGGAGTTATAAAGTGTTTAGTAGTAAGTTGGAAGGAAGGGTGGGAGAGGTTGTGAGTTTCAACTCCCCCACACTAACAACTAACATTTGCCGATAAAAAAAAGTCTCCCATTTTTTATACTTTTTTCTTTTTTGGATATCAGAGAACAGGACCACGTCCATTGGATAAGATCTTCAGTTTTTTTATCAACAAAGCAACACAAAAGAATCAGAAAATGCCATTATGGTGACAAATAAGCTTAATTATTTGAATGCATGAATACATTTTTTCTATTAAATAAAAATATAAAACTAACAATGCAGAGAAAGTAAACGTCAGTGGGTCCACAAATAAAAATACATAGCCTTTGTCAATAGTTCAAGTTTTGTTCTTCAGTAAAGAGTGAGGAAATTGAAGGGGCAACTTCACTGTCCTGTCATCTCGCTAGAAACGACAGTTTTTTTCTAACCCTTTTCTTGTAGATTTTTTTTTCTTCCACAGAGAAAGTTTCTGGTAGTCACTTTTTAGGAATCATTAGCAAATGCAATAAAGAAAAATTGTTACTTGTGCAATGCAGCAGCTATGTAAAATGATTTTCTCATATGATGAGGATGAAGGTGAAACTTCTAGTCTTTGGTGCAAGTCTTTGAACTTTTTTTTGACATCCTCAACCTTCAAGAACACCAAAAATAAATGTGAGAAATGACGCACCAAATGCACAAAGAACTTTCCCCACATTACAGACTAGTACTATATTGAAAATTATCATGTCAAACAACATATATGCAAAGCTATGGACATCTCTTGATTGTGATCAATGTTAATATGCTACTATGCTCATTTTAGCATACAAGCACAATGAAGTATGACGTCATGGCTCAAGTTTCAACCCACCACAGAGGTTGAGTTCAAACAATTTTTTTATTTAACTGAACCAAATTTAAAGACACCAATTCCATCTTACCTGATAATTCACTTTAGCGCACTGTAGATGATAACCTACAAATGCTTCTATTTATTTCAACTTTAATTGAGACTTCAAAATTAACTATCAAGAAAACGTCATTAAAGAATGCTAATAAAAACTAGCTAACTGGCTTTGGTACTACATTAATCACACTAAATTTCGGAAGAAACATAAAAATGGGAAAATGGAGACTTAGTTCAAGAATGAAGCAAATTGCAAAAAGGCAGAACTACGTAAAGATTATCATGGCTTCACAGAAATTATTAGAATCATTTGTGAGATATTTCTTACCAATAAATTTGGAATGCTAACAACATAGCAAGCAATGAAGTTTGTAACATTATTTGCTTCATGATCTGCAAAATGTAAGAGAACCTCAGTATGTATATATACTAGAGAGAACTATACAGAGAAAGCAATGCTTAATCTCACTATATGACTACAATACTACTTCAAATACAAATGGGTAGAATGTAAGAAAAATCTTTGTTTAAAGACATTTACAATTAGCTCAGAAAAGGAAAGATCCATGCAGTCCAAATTTTGGACCACTTAATACATATAAAATTATGTGAAGCAAAATTGGTAGATAGAAAGACCCAAATATATAGCATATACAAATTCTTATTCTTCTTTTCCAAATGCAACTCAGTGCCATTACACACGTACATCACCCAAGGTGAAAAAAGATCAATATCAAATTACCACTATTTTTTAAGTAAAAAAGGAACTTCTCTGCCACAGGTTCCAATAGTAATCTTCCTAATGCCTGAAATACCATTGCTACAGATTCAGCAGATGAAAGGTCTTTTATGTCTATGATTTCCAACAGCTTTAAAATCTCCTCTGTCCGTTCACTTTCACAAAGAGCCAACAGAACATTCTCTGCAACATAGGTTGATAGTAAGTTCCTAAAGTGCAACATGAAACAATTTTCTATCATTATTAGACACCAAAATGCAAAAAGGGTAGCATCATGCTAGTAGTCCTGTTAATTAGTAAACATTAGCATAAAACACTCGTATATGAATAATCAAATACAATTAACCGCGTGAATTATGTCACTTAAAACAGCATGGGCCAAATAGTTTCACCTCAAATGATCCCAAAATTTTCAATAAAAGACATCAATAGTGTCTCTGTGTAATGAAATCACCTGCTAAACTTTAAATCCAGCAGGTGTTATGGCAAAATAGTGCAAGTGGAAAAAAATATAAAGGAGGTTCTCCTACCTCGTATATCAGACATGTCCTCACTGTCATTCTCTGCAATATAATTACAAATACTCTGAATCTTTTCTTCGTTATTAACTCTCAACCACAACAACATTTCATAGTAACCCAGCCTTGCAACTGAACTGGGATTCTCCTCTTTGATAATAACATAGAAAAACTGAAACTCCTCAACCATACACATATCAATTATATACAAAAGAAGTGGGCAATATGTCTGCTCCTCTAGCTCTAAACCTTGTTCCCTCATTGATTTAAAAAGGTTAAAAACCTTCCCCAGTTCTATTGCGATGCCTTCATCATCAGTTCCCCTGGCTTTATCTATGCACATTTTTACCAATGCACTGTATCCTTTCGCATCTGGTTTTCGTCCAAGTTTACCAAACAATTCAAGGGTAGCCTCTGGTCCTAGCATTTTTGCAGAGACTTGAACTAACTTCTGAAAACGGTTTTCTTGAGAGACTTCAAACACATATTTTTGTTTCTTTTTATGAGACTGCTCTTTCCGTTGCAATAATATATTGCTCTGAGAGATGCTCGACAACCACGATAGATTTTGCACTCTTTCAAACTCCTTTGCACCATCAATTTCCGCAGAACCAGGTTTCTTGGCTGACTTACCATCTGCAATCAGTAACAATAACCCGATATGATTAACCTTTTAAACCAATTTTTTTGGGAAAACCACAGTACAGTACCTTCATTCATTACACCTCCCCTCCCACCCAGCCAAAAAAAGTAAACATAAACATTAACAGGGAAAAAGGAATTGTAAATAGAAATACTGGTTAACCACAATTAGATTAGACCTACTTCCAGCTTCCTCAGTTTTCCTTGTATCCTAGAGAAAATGGATATATATCTTGGTGTATAATCAAACAAGGATGGCAAACTTTCTTAGTTTTAATTTTAACAACTCCTTTGAATTATAAGTTCCTCTCACTCCTCCCAAGCTCTCGTTTCTCACTTGACACCCCTCCTATAAGTGTGTATATTCTCACAGAAGTTTTAACAAACACTTACCATGGAAAATAGAAGAAATATGCTTAAACACCCTGTTAGCCGAATCACCTGCACCAAAATACCCAAAAATAAAAAATAAAAAAACAGATTATTATAAATCAAATTATCCAACAATGCAGCACCCTCGGCAATAGTTTCCAATATCAACTTAACGAATTCGATTTAAAGTAGACTAAAACCACTTCAGTCAATGTTCGTGAAGGGTGAGGATGATTGAAAATACCTGAATCAGAGGGTTGTTTAAGCTTGAGGCTTGAGAGCGTGAAATCCTCATCAAGTTCCGAAAGGCAAAACGAGGTTGAAGAAGAAGAAGATGAAGGTTGAGGATTGGAAGTGGCACCTTAGGAGGCTGAACGTCGGCACCCAGTGCTTAGATTTCGAATGTAGCGCACTTGCATTGCATTTATACGATCAAATTGAAACACTATACCCTCATTTACATCCTTTTTATTCTATGGAAATGGAACCACGCCACAATTTTACCAAATGTTTCGCAATGTTAAGACCCAAGCTATATTCTAGTTAAGAGCCTGGTAGCTTATAAGGAGAGATGTGTGTAATAATTCTTGGGTCAAGCTCTATTCGATTTGAAAAAATTATATTTTATTGGATTTGAAAAAATTGTATTTTTTTATATAGGTTAAATTTTAATCTAGTTCATTTAAATTCTTTTTATACGGATTGAATTTGTGATGAATTGGGTTGGTCCACTAACTCATCTACCTAATTTTATTTTATTTAATTTTAATTTTATAAAAAAATATTTATTATTTTTTTTCTTGAAAAAATTATTTAAATTCTTTATTTTCAAAACTAATTAAACACTTATGTTGGAAAGTGAAATTTGTGACTGAATTTGGTTAGATTTAAATTATAGAAAGTTTGTAAATTTTTTTTATTTTAAAAAAATATTAATTAAGTGAGTCAGTGAGTCAACCTATTTATCCACCAACTCGTGATGGATCGGACCGAATTCGAATTTTTCTGACTCACTAATAAATGAGCCAAGTTAGGTTGGCTTACTAAGTGACTAACCCGTGGTGGACTGGGTTGGGTCGGTCCGATTTGACAGCTCTACTTATAAGTAACTAAATTTTTTTATATAAATAAAGTTTATGTCTGTATATAAAAATATAGTTTATGTATTTTTTTCTTAAATAATTGAATTTTTATTAAATGTTTAAGTATTTTATTTATTTTTTATTAAAATTGTGTAGAAATTTTGTATTTAAATAAGTTCATGTAACAATAATAAAATTAAATTAAACTTTTATTTATTTAATTTTTTTTTCATTTCTTAAGTTAAACTACAGTTAAAATTAATTCTTTTTACAACTTTCACTATGTATAATTTTTATATAAACTTATTATCAGTAACTTCCATTTAAAGTGCTAGTTTTTTTTTAAACTTAAATTACATAAAAATTGAAGAAGTAACTCGATAATATAAAAAATAGTATAATAATTAATTATTTTTTAAGATGGAAATAAATAATAATAAATTAAATATAACAATAAAAATAAAATAAAATATAAGAAATGATTAATAAAAAAAATTAAATAACATAAAAGTAAAAGATTATATATTAAAACTAATAAATGCCCTGCGTATATGTATTTCTAAAACAATTTTGTTTTAGTTAAAGTGGTTTATAAGAGATTTGGAGAAGCTTTATGAAATAATAATTAGGTTTATTCACATACTTTTCTTAAAGATATTCAAAATGCATAACATAATTATATATTAAAGTTTTTTTTAAGTCAATTTTTTCTTTTTCGAAATAACCCCCATAGCCATAAAATAAGTTTTATGCTTTCCACGTTCCTTTATAAATGTCTTAAAAGAGTTTTTAATAAAAATGAAGAAAAAAAATCTCTTTAAAGTCAATCTTTTCATTTTATGTACAACCCTTGGCCACAAGACAACTCTTATATATTTTCACGTTATCTTTGGAAATTCGCTTAGTCTTAAATTTGCATTTGCTACTAAAGAGTTTGCACCTTTTGATAACATGATAAGTTTCCATTGTTTTATGTGAACTTATACTTTTTATTCATTACTTTAATCTAGAATCTTACATGGCTTGAGAGAAGTTGATTAAGTCATCTTCCATAACTCAAGTATTTTTGTGTTTTTGGAGAAGTATCATATAATAATTTAGAATAACTCTTCTCATTTCTTTTGCTTATCAACACAAAGGTATTGGATCATGGAGCATAGGTTCTTAAAGATCTTGAATTTGTTCTTCATGAACAACCAAATTATCTTAAGTTGAAATATTTTGTAAAGATTCTAAACTTGCTTTATCAAAAGAAAATGTACGAATTAATTCTAAAGTTTATTATTGATTCTTCCTCTAAGACAAGTCTTTAACCTTACTCTTCTCCCACACTCAATGCCCCAAAAAATGTAGCAATTACCATTTCAAAAGAAAATTAATTTGGGATCATAAAATATAAAGCCTTTGGACCTTTTAGAATAACCAGTAAAGTAGTTGCTTATTATTAAGGAATCCAATTTCTTTTCATTTAACTTTTAAGTTCATGCTTCAATTAGACATTCTCATATACAAAAAATTATTCAAACTAGGTTTTCACCTAACCCAAAACTCTAAAGGTATTTTCGCAATTACCTTGGTTATCATCTACTTAGAATTTAAGTTGTAGTTTTAATGTCTCCCTCTAGAGTGAGTCTAGCAAGGTAGAATGACAAATCATGCTTCTTATCATATCCTTAATAGTTCCCTTTCATCTTTCAGTCACATAATTCATGATAGGTGACCCTGACATAGTGTATTGTAGGACAATTTCACATTCCTCTAGGTACTTGGTGAAAGGTCTTCACCTGAACCGTCACATCTACCATATTATTCACCATCACGATAAGATATGGCAATTTTAATTCTTTTATTGAGTTTATTTTCAACTTTAACCTTAAATGATTTGAACATCATCCGAAGATAGAGTTTCTTTTTTTCATTTTGTTTTGGTTTATTTTCCATTAAGCATTCAATACAAACAGAAGGTTCGTGAAGTTGATGGAATCTAAGATCCCGTTGACACAATTGTTCAAATTGATTTATAGGATGTAAGATAGGCATTTACTGCCATAATGCTGCCTGAGTTAGTATTGTTATTTTATATTGATCTTGGACACTCTTCTTTACATGTCCAATTTTATTGCAAAGGAAACAGTTTATTACCATGATTTTGTTTCTTTTGTGTTGAACCTTTAATAGTTTAATTCTTGAGATCCTCAATTTTCTTTCCCTTGTATCTAGAAGTGAGCTCACAAAATGAGCATATTTTTTCTTGCTTCATTCTTTCATTTTCTTCCAGCAGTATGAAATGAGTTAATTTAAGATACCATTTATATGTTTAACAATTATCAATAATCTTTACAAATGATCAAATTGTGAAGGAAGAGAAATCAATATTTAATGTATTAGCATTTCAACATCTCAAGCTTTAGTGCCTTAAGTTTTGAAGAAATATTTGACATTTCAATATTTGAAACCAAGCTCTAAAAAAGATCACTTGTTTTTGCCTTATAGCTTTTTTTATAAAACATTTTTCAATTTTAACGAGGAAATTTTGGCACTTGTTATCTCCTTAAAGACAATATCTCTTAAAATTTCAGGAATGTCGCACTTAATGATGACAAGACTCATGCAATTTGAGCAATATCATTTTTAATTATTCTCTCCTTTCTTTAGAGATACTAGAGTTCGTAAGAGAATGAGTTTCTCAATCCTTAATCCAAGGTCAAGATCCATGTAGCCAAGAACAAATTCATGTTCTCCTTCTAGTCCTTAAAATTTGTTCTATTAAGAACCTAAACAAAATAAATAATAAACAATGTAACATGCAATGAAGTGTATCACATCAATATTCCATAGAAACAACATATATTAAATGAAGAGAATAAAATAAATAATGTAATTGTGATCACGTCATAAACAAAATCCAATCATAAATATGTTCAGATAATAACATAGCCATCTCAAGATACCTATGCACCATCAATATTAAATCTTTTGGACAATAATATTAATTGCTAAGAGTATCTTGTTGTAATGATTCAAACATTGATAATAAACAACTGTTCAACAACAAAACCCTATCTATGATTGATTTATCATGACATGAAAATCGCAGAATTATCAACTTGTTTACCATATGTGTATGCAATCCAAACCAAAATTTAATCTTTCCTTTATGATCAACCAATCTTGAATAAACATAAACACAAAGATTTAGAGAGGTCACTTTAGTGTACATAGATTCAATCAACTATTTAAAATGATTAAATACCAAAATTTGAACATTTATGTACAAATCCAAGAAAATAAAAATAAAAATTAATAAAAAATTTAAAAAGTTAGTTTAGTAAGAATTTGGAAACAACCAATTTTAAACTGTGTTTTTCAAAATTTTCAAAATCACACATGAATAAAATATGGGTTGGTGTTATGATACTAATTGAAGGAAATTTCTAAAAAATAATAATATGTATAATCACGTGCTTTTACCCATAGAAATCCAAAATACATAGAAGAATCATATATTAATCTGAACCTATAATTTAATTATTAATGGAAAAGAATGCGAAATACCTGAGTTTGTCATTGGAAATTATGTGAATATAAAATTAAGCATATATATGTTATTCTTCCAAAGTAGAGAGCCTTAGACACAACTTTTTTATCTCGTATGGGATAAATAGAAAAACAAAACCCTTAACCAAGATACATTCTCTATAAATGGAACATATTCCATTCTAAACTCTTTCAACCACCGCCCAAATTTTAATAATATTTTTTTTTTTTTTTTTTTTTTTAGGAAGATATTCATGTAAATGAAAACTATTACTTAAAATATCTATATAACAATTTTTTTTAAATTAATTATATTTAGTTATAAACTTAATATTAAAAGACCCACTTATAGTTTTAACTAACTGAGTAATATTTAAATTTAAAATAATATATACAACCCAAAATTTCTACCACTTCATATCACATTGATTTTTCTTATAATTCTCATAATTTATAACTTATGCAAAACAAAGATAAAGAAATGTGTGGGATTGATGTAATTCTTGCCCTCTTATACAATAAAATATATATATCTTATTTATGGGTGTCCAAATTTGTTTTTATTTTTTATAATTATTTTGGGTCAGAGCATTTATTATTTATATACATGTGTGGGAATTGATATGAGATCATTTGTGGTAATTGTATATATTTAATTTAGTTTATTTGTAAGTAAAATTTTGAAAACTAAAATAGGGTGCAAAATGAGGAGAAAGTATAAGACTTATAAAATTGGATTGATAAATTATAATTTACCCTTATATTTAACAATTATTTATTTTTAAATAATTCTGTTTATTGGATTTTTTTTTTAACTTTTTACAATTATTATTAGTCATTAATAAATAATATATTTAAATGCTACTTTTTTTTTAAAAAAAATATTTCTTTTAACAAAAAGTATTTATATTTTAAAAATATATGTGAGCAACAATTTTAATATTTACACTATAAAACAATGCATAAGGCAATAAACGTTATATTCAGAGTTATTATATGTTTATTAAATCAATCGTGTACTTTTTATCAACCTCTTAAATTTAAACTAATCTTGTTCTTCACAAAATAATTGTTTTTCTATCATTGTATTAGTTGTCTTCAATGTGAAAATGAAAGTTAAGAGACTTGATATTTATTTTATTTTTTATTTTCATAACTCATGTTTAAAGTGATTTTCGACTTTTTTTCAATGTTTAAAATGGTCAGTTCAATTTTGTCATATTTTCTGACAGTGTTTAAATTGTTATATAAATTGTTAACGACGTAATGTCTACGTGAGCTATCAGTAAATGACATGACTCATTTTTTCTAACATCATCTTCAACCTTTCACCATCAAGTCACCATGGTTTCCTTCCACCATCGTTAGTGATTCGCCATCCTTGCACGTTCAATCTTCTTCAACCACCACATATCAACCTAGAGCCACCGCAAGCCACCATTGTTCGAAATCAAAATATGCAATAGTAAGCCCCAAATCTAAAAGGAATTTGTAGTGTATGGCCATACAAACATATCGAATAACCAGCCGGATAAGACCACAGAAAAGGACGACTGGTCTGAATAGGCTGAGGTCCACACCAACCGTGAGAACCCCTAAACATCGATTCTAATCATGATTACTGGTAAGAGTTACTTAGTGGGAATCGGATCATGACTGGGCCATGATTAAGATTCCACTAATCACAGGCCCATCAAGAAATCTATTTGGTCGAAGGTAAGAAGGTAGATGATTGCATTTATTGCGAATTTAAGAATTTATTGTGACCTCCGATCAGACTGATCATTGACTTGAGCTTTAGAGTGCCTTTGACAAGTGTACCCAGACAGTTTGGAGTGTGGACAAGGAAGAATTTTAACTAAGTGTGCAAGATAACCTAAGCTAACTCAGAGAAAAGTGTGAAGGAACGTTTTGTGGAGGTCCTCGACCCTATATCCTGAAACAGAAACAAAAACCACAAAATCGTGAGCACCTAAAATCATGAATCACATCCCAAACCTGCAATCCCAAATCGCAATGCTAGTTCACACCAACACAAATCTCCCTTTCCAAAACGCGACAAAACCTGACTACATTCACCACACACAACATCGTTTGTCATCTTCTCCACCACGAGCAACCTACGAATAAAAAAAAAGACCAGACTAAAAAATCCCAAATCGCGTTCAACGCTTCATATCGTCACTAGAGAAGACTACCACAAAATCGTGTCTAGTCCACACACCTACAACGCAAAACCACCATGAACCACTACGAAACAACAATAACTTGCAAATCAAAAACTCAAACCAGAAACCCTAATTGCTTCACTATCATGGGAAACTAGAAAATCCTAATTGCTTCACTACCATAGGAAACTAGAAAATCCTAATTGTTTCATTGTCATGGATAATCAAGTTAGACAAAATGACAATCACGTTATTCACTAAAACTTATGTAGACACTATGCTATTAATAATTTAGACATCGCTAGAAAAAAATACTAAATTAAAAAAAAAATTGACCATTTTGAACGTTGAAAAAAAATCAAAAACTACTCTTAACAAAAATAATTAGAAACCAAAATAAATATTAAAACAAGTTTGGAAATGAAAGAGTCAATGAAAAATCAAACGAAGTCATTCATTTAAATAAAAACACTTAAAACCTTTCTTCCATATGCCTAAATATTTAGAATCCTTATTTTAGCCTAAAATAAAAACTGATTAAAAATAATATGACGTTTTACATCCTATATATCCTACTAATTACTATTATGATTACTAATTACTATTGGTATTCTTCATCATATACTAAATATTCAATGGATAAGTTATTTTTCTCCCAATAATTCATGTGATTAATCACTTCTTTCAAATCCAATTTTCATTCTCAACCGAAGCTATAGAAAATAAAAAGAAAGAATAGATATTACAAAATAGAAAATATCTCTGCGACCAATGATTTATAAAAAGAAACTAATAATTAAATAAAATAATACACACAAAAATGAAAAATGATAATCTCAAGTCAACTAAACCGATGAGCATCAAGCAGAAGTACAAAAGCAGCCACAAAAAATGTGACAAGTGCACGATAGCATCCACGGGATTCGGGTGCGCTGGACGGGATCACCTCCGGGTTTTTACCGCCAAGCCTGACGGGTTTCCGGTTCACTTTCAACCCGGAATCGTTCATTTCCACATTTACCCCTCCCCACAAAAGGTGCCGTTTCGTGTACCACCAAACAATCTTGTACTTTATCGCCGTGGTGAAGTCCACGCGGTACACCACCTTCCCGGAAACCGTGACGGTAAGGTTACCGCCGCCGTTGAGAGAGCCATGCTTGAAGGCCTTCTTGTTGTGGCCCTGGTAGAAGCGGTCCACGGTGGCGTTCCCGAGAGGGCGCGTGGTGTTGTTGCTGACGAAGACCTTGAAAGTGAGGTGAACGTCGTCGTATTTGATTCCATTGTCCTTGTTCCCGTTGACGAGCCTGACGGTGAAGAGGATGGTGGTGTTTCCGGGAGAGGGATTTAGGGTTTTGTTGAGGGCAGGAACGTAAATTTTCTCGAGGTACAAATGGGGTTCGTCCACGCGCATACTCAGCCACAGGAACAGTGCGGTTAAACCTATGGTTACAATGAAGGCGGTGCAGCGTGTGCAGCAGTTATCCTGCGCCATATATGGTGGCTGGAATTTCGGATACGAGAAACTCAACGGAGAGTGTCGTTTAGGTGTTGTTTTGTTCTATTTTGTGTTGTTGGATTATTATAGTTTGCAAGAGGTGTTGGGCAGTTTCGAAGAAGTGTTCTTAGATCTTACTACCATCACTACATTCTACATTCTGGGAAATTTTCATGAACATGTTTTTCTCCTGTGGTTTATAATAAACACTAAAGAAAAAAGAAAAATTAACATGTTTAAGCACAAAATTTATATTTATCTCAGTAAAAACATTAAATAATTAGCACAATATTCATCGTAGACTTTGAGTTATTACTAAACATTCAAATCACACAAAATAAAGCTTGACAAATAAACAGAAAAGAATCTTTAAAGCGTGTGAATTCAGTGTGCATACGCGTATGATACCAATAATAACAAAACGAAAAAGAAAAACCAACTTAAAGCAAGTTGCGTGAAGCCTCGTGGTGATTGCTTTCTCGCTTTTATTCTCTCACCTGACTATAAAAACGGGCCCATGTATGTATCCCCAACGCTACCATCTTTTCAATCACACAATCTAAAATTAAGTTATTCAAAATATAATTTTAAACTATAGAATCTAATGTAACATTCTAATATGATATTATATCTCTATTAAAGAAAATATCAGCAAACAAGAAGAAAAGACAAATAAACGAAGAAAAAGAGTAACATAATGTATTAAAGAGAACAATTATACATGTATAAAAATGTTAACACATGGAAACATTTATATTTAGATTTATCAACTTATCTTCCTCGTATATGGTCCTAACTCACATAGATTGAAATTAGCAAAACTTACGGGACAAAAAAGCCTTCATTAAAAAACTTTCAAGATCAAAATATTCACAAAAGCTTTGTAGGTCAAAGTCAGTCCGTGAACCTTCTTTTATAATATTTATTTTGAATAAAAAATATAATTAATTCTTAATTTGTCACAAATCTAAGTGTTTTTAATTTGTTAAAAACAATACATAAACATTTTAATCAAACTAACATAGACTTTGTAAAATGTTTCAATAAACTTGATTGGTTGCTTATACAAAAAATTTACACAACATAAGAAGATGTTTAAATCATTAACTCTGTAAACATTATTTTTAAAGTATATAAGATAGTCATTTAATTTTTGTGTACAAAAAATTCATCTATATTTGAATAAAAACTAAATAAGATATCTTCATAGGAAAGTGTAAAATAATGAATTTATGAATAATAATTTTATTGACTTTTTTTATTATATGTTGTTTGTTTTTTCTTTTTGCTTTTTTAATGTATGACTTAAATTTATACTTAAATTTTATCAATTATTTATTTCTCTTTAATAATCAATATATATATATATATATATATAATATTTAGTAATTATAAAAAAATTTATTATTAATTTCATTATAATTAATCCAATATTCTCACATTTTGGTTAGACTTCATATTTCTTTTGTCATGTTTGGAACTTTATCACAATGTATTGCATACTATTTTATTAAATGGTATATGTTTTCTTCTCTAAGAAATTATTAAAATTAATAAATAGATTATAGTAAAAAACTATATTAAATTATACTTGATTCAAAAATAGTTTTCAAGGTCAGAGCACATACCAAGTTATTCATATGATCATATCTTAAGTTCTTCAATTCAACACCAATTCAAACAAAGCAAACAACACACAAACATTAATCATAAACAGATTTTTAACAACTCAAACGCCAATATAAAAAATTCAACCCTTTCTATGCAAATCAAACTTACAAACTCAAATTCTCAAAGCATTTATAACTTTAAATCAACGTAATTAGATTCTCTTACTAGAGAGACAACCAAATAGATCTATAATCTTCAAAACACCTTTGTAAGAAAAGAAATGCCTTATATCTCAAGCCAAGAGGGGGGGGGGGGGGGAGGTGAATTGGATTAAGCCTTAAAAATTATTCTTTTCAAAATCTTTGTTGAAGGGATTCCACTAAATTGATTGAGTTTACAGAAATACAGAGACACCTCTCAATGCACTTCTCACCACACTCAAAATCAATATAGCAGTGCAAGATATGAGTAACCTCACTCTCTTACAACACTTGAGAACACTTACCGCTCTCAACACCTGGCCAACCCACACAGGTACACAAATACAAAATGTCTATGATGATTCTGATCTTTAAGTTACACTCCTCTTGGTGCAGATCAAATCAGAACAAACTTTTCTTGAAAGAATCTTGATGTATAAGCAACCAATGTAGCATTGATTCTCCAAGATCACTTCTTGAACGCTCCTGTAATCAAAACTTATTGAAAACAATAGTATTTGAAAATGACATCAATTCTTGTTTTGAATCAGGTATCAAGATGCATATATATAAGATTTTTCAAATCTTGACGCATTATAATTAATTAAGGTTTTTATGTAATCTGTTAATCTTTTACTTCTGTTTTAACATTTTATACTGAGTATGTAATCGATTATTTAAGAACATAAGCCAATTATTGATTCAATTTACAGTTATAACAGATCATGCTTATTAAATGAACGGGATTAAACAAGGTAAGCCGATTTAATCGATTAAACAACTTATGTAATCGATTAATCCTGTACTTAAGCAAATTTTAAATCCAATTTCCATTTTAAACATATCAACTCACTTATGAAACATATTATGACATTGCTTTCTATTTTAATCGATTAGATAACTTATGTAATCGATTACTACAGAGCAGTTTGCCCCTATTAAGCATACTAAGTGATATGGTGAAATCTAACATATTATATACTATGATTAATCAATTGTTTCAACCAGAAATGAGATATTCAATATGTTTTAAGCATAATTCATTTACCAATAATGAATTCATACTAAGTGATCTGGTGAAATCTAACAAATTATATACTATGATTAATCAATTGTTTCAACCAGAAATGAGATATTCAATATGTTTTTAGCATAATTCATTTACCAATATGGAAATCATATATCAAGCATAAACACAATAAAGATAAAATAATTGTTATGCCATTTGTTGTGTAAGAAACCATAAAACCATTCTTTTATTCATCATAAAAAACCAAGATATATAAGAAGGTTAAAGCTCCCCCTATCAACATGTCATAAAGCATGTTTTATATGTGAAGTATTATATGTGAAGTAAACGTTACAGCTCATCAATTGAAACACAAAAGGAAGACAATATATCAAAGGTTAAAAAAAAACATTCAATGATTGAAATGTATATTGCTGAAGAAAGCATTGATTTTAATTTAAGTATTTATTAATTTGTGTTTCAATATTATCAGTTAACATTTTTTTATTGTACTATAAATGAGAATAAAGAAAAAGATTTTTCAAGACAACAAAATATTATAAATTTATCCATTAAAGACACTAATCTTATAAATGGATAAATGACACAAAAATTATTAATATTATAAACTTATTTATTCGCTTTTTGTGTTTTCTTTTGGATTACATTTGAGTTGTATGTTAATTTTTTTATTTTGAATTGTCTTTGGAGTTTAACATCATTTTAGAGTGAAATTATTTAAATTCGAATTACAAAAAAATTGTAATTTTTTTGGATTTAAAAAAAAACTTGTAATTAAGTGAGCTAGTGAGCCAACCCGTTTAACCTACCAACCCGTGGTGGGCCGGGCCAAGTTCAAATTTTTTTTGACTCGCTAATAAATGAGTCGGGTTGGGTTGACTCACTAAGTGACCAACTCGTAGTGGGCCAGGTCGGGTTGGGCCGAGTGACCCGTTTTGACAACACTAAGATTACTAATGAATCATGTTCTATTCCTAAATACAAGCATCCATAAGGCATTTAATTTCAAGTCTAGATTCAAGTCATATTTTCAAATACATCAAGAACCACAAATCAAGTATGGAAATAATTCACATCAAGCATTAAGCATGTAAATTAAATACTAACGTGAATTGGAAAAACATATATCATTAATAACATAAAATTACACAAGAGTCTTATGCTTTACAACCAATCTCAACAAATAAGGTTAACCCTCCATGGTGGAGAACTTAGGATTCTACAAATTGAAGAGATAGGGAAGAAGTGAAAACTAAAGAGAAGATGTAAGCCCTCTCCCAAGGTTCTCAACAAATTCCAATTGCGCCTCCCCTTCACGTCAATGCCTCCAACTCGTAGCTCCTCTCCCTCATCAACCTTGAGAAGGGAAAAACACCATGGATGAAGATTGAAGATCCAAGGAGTAGTAGGAGAGCTTCTCAACACCCCAAACAATTAACCTCCAATGACCTCTCCTAGCCGCCCTAGGTCTAGAGTGAAGTGTGGGAGGAAAAGGCTGTCCAAAACCTCGCAACAAACATGTTTAAAACCCATTTTGACATGTTAGCGTCGCTCGCCACCTCTTAGCACCATATCAGTATTGCTAAGCGCCATTACTTAAAACATACAAGGAGTTCTTTGTCAAACCACTGTTCAACACCATTTTTCACCACTCAACTCTAACTTGGTGGCGCTCAACCCAACTATTCCACCATTAAGCCCCAAGTAGTTTAACAACACTCTGAGTTTTAAGCACTAGTGTGATCCCAAAGGCACCCAACGTGGGTATTTGCTTCGAGTTGATCTTTTCTTGTCCCAAAACATGGTTCCTTGAGTTCTTGTTTATTTTCCTCCACTAGAATGACTTCCTATTAATTTATTTTACACTTATAAATAAAGACATTAGAGGTAAAAACAATCATAAAAAACTAAAATACAAAACAACACAAAATACATTAAACTTGAGGATAAAACAAGATTAAAGCTAGGAAATAGTTTATTTATTCATGACAATAGATGCACAAAAGCAGGTAAAAATGGACCTTATCACGTTTGAACATTGGTATGTTGCTCTTCAAGGGCAAAAAAAAAAAACACATTGATGTTAATAAAGAAATTTGAGTGATCTTCATATTGCTAACATCCATCCATTTAAAACAATGATAAATTTTGACGAAGACCCTCTAATTGACGATGTACATGCAATTCACGAATATCACAATGATAAAATATAAATATGACTAATCCATAACTTTATGTATGAATTTCATATTCTTGTATAAATTTATGTGTTTTGTTAAATAATATGTTATATGTTGTTTTATATGTTTGTTATTAATCTTTTGTGCTTTTTTCTTTTAACAAATATATGGATGACCATCAAAATTCATCTCACTACGTGACC